AGTGACTGAATGAATGAGTGAGTGACTGAGTGAGTGAAAGCGAGTGAGTGAATGAATGAATGAGTGACTGAGTGAATTAATGAGTGATTGAATGAGTGAATGAATGAGTAACTGAGTGAAAGTGAGTGATTGAATGAGTGAGTGACTGAATGAATGAGTGATTGAATAAATGAGTGACTGAGTGATTGAATGAATGAGTGAGTGACTGAGTAAATGAATGACAGTGAGTGAAAGTGAGTGAGTGATTGAATGAATGAGTGACTGAATGAGTGAATGAATGAGTGAAAGTGAGTGAATGAGTGAACTAATGACAGTGAGTGATTGAATGAGTGAGTGAAAGTGAGTGATTGAATGAATGAGTGATTGAATGAGTGACTGAGTGAATGAATGACTAAGTGAATGAATGAATGACTGAGTGAGTGAAAGTGAGTGATTGAATGAATGAATGAGTGAGTGACTGAGTGAATTAATGAGTGATTGAATGAATGAGTGACTGAGTGAATGAATGAGTGACTGAGTGAATGAATGAATGAATGAGTAAGTGACAGTGAGTGAAAGTGAGTGAGTGATTGAATGAATGAATGAATGAGTGACTGAGTGAATGAATGAGTGAGTGATTGAATGAATGAATGAGTGAGCTAATGAGTGAGTGAAGGCCCTCTGGTCGGGCTATAGGCCCAAAGGCAGAGGGTGGGCACACTGTGAGGCAGGAGGCCCCAAGTTCAAATTTGGCCTCATTCGTACTGCATGTGTGACCTCAGACTGATCACTTCCCGTCTGCCTGCCTCCTCTACAGGGATGATGTGTGTAGGGTGCCCAGGCCAGTGCCCAGCACAGCCCCTGTGTCCTTAGACCTGGACGGACGTGTGGAGGAGTGGGCCCCCGCATGGTGGCCGTGGCCGTGGCCGTTCCCTGGAGATGGGGGCCCCGACCCCCAACCTCTGTTCTGGTCACTCTGCTTTATTTGCTCAGAGCTCTTGGCCTTTCTGTGACCAGAACCGCCCCTTTTCTTCCGCCCCCCACGTGCTCTAAAGGCCCGAGGGTACGAGGGAGGGGCCGGCCTGACCTGTGCTTGGGGAGCCACTTTGGTGGCTGTGGTGACAGCGGGCTGGAGAGGGGAGAGACGAGGCAGGGGGAAGGCTAGATTGATCTGGGGGCCTCTTCATCATCATCATGAGGCAGAGCGTGGCTACGGACTGGTCCAGGGTCTCGCTGCTGGTAAGTGTCTGAGGTTGGATTTGAACTTGGATCTTCCTGAGTGCCGTCCCCTGTGATCCTAGCTGCCAGAAGGAGGCTGGCTCTGGCTTCCACAAAGCATGGGGAGGGGTCTTTGATGCCGAGGGGGCGGGGCAGGCATTGGAAGGAGCGTGGCAAGGTAGAGAGTGGGGGGCAGGGTATTGCCTGGCCGAGGGACTGGGAGGGACTTGAGTTGGTAGCAGGGATTAATAATGGAGAGGAGAGGGAAAACAGCACTGACTGGAGAGGCGCAGGACCCGAGCTCAGCTCCCCCCTTGGTCCCTGGGTAACTCGGGGCCAGCCTCGATCGGCCCTTCTGTGGAGTGAAGGTATGGGCTGACTCAGGGCCCTGGGAGGGCAGTCATGGAACAGTGGCTCGTGGAGTGAGCCCCGCCCTGGGGGCAGCCGGAGCCACGCCTGGGCCTGGAGGCCCTTGTACTGAGCGGCTCCTTAGTCAGTACCTCCTTGAGGGGCCGGGCCCAGAGAGCCGGAGTGAGGAAGCGGGACGGTCAGCAAAGGACCCTTGGCAGCAATGCCGTAGGAAAACCAGCCTTGCCCACGAGCCAAGCCGGGGCAGTGTCCCTGCCATGCCTCCATCCCCCTCTCTGGGATCCTCCAGGAAGGAGGGAGGCTTTGTCTCAACGGCCCGTCTCTTGTCAACGCTTCTGTTTTCTAGATGACGAGGGCCCCAGCCCCCCTGAGCAGCTCACAGCGGTCAAGCTGTCTGATTCCAGGTAATGTGGACTGCCACAGGGCAGGCAGTGCACACCCATGCTGGGGGGAGAGGGGGATTCGTCCCGTTGAGGACCCCGCAGACGGGCTTTCCATGGTCCCCCTGGGCTGGGCGTTGGGGGGGGGATCCCCAGAGGGCAGGCATGAGGGGGCGCAGAAGCTGGGCCTGATTGCCTTCTGCTGTCGGTTTTCTTAAAGAATTGCCCTCAAGTCCGGCTACGGGAAGTATCTCGGCATAAATTCAGACGGCCTGGTGGTGGGGCGATCCGACGCGATAGGACCCCGGGAGCAATGGGAACCGGTCTTTCAGGACGTGAGTGGCGGTGCCGTGTGTGGGTGCCGGGGAGGGCAGCAGGCTTCGACAGGCCAGTGATTCATCGATCGATCGTGACTCTGACACACGTCTCTCGCTCAGTAAATTCTCTAGTAAAATGACTTTGAGTCTGATGGATACCCTTTGGTCTTTGTATCCCAGTCATTCCTGGGCGTGTCCCACCTGCTGAGCCCTCCCTTCCCGGTTCATGTAGTGACCACATCTGACTGTGCGAGCGTTGCCCCACGTCCCCCGGCCCCCCAGCCCGTGTGGCCCCACTCGTACCCAGGGAGGCCCATTTGCTCGTCATTGGTGACTCAGCCTTTGGCTACGCTTTCTCCTGCTTCTCACTGACAGTATCGTAATCATTGGGCGTAGTGCTTACCTGGCTCTGTTCTCTTCTGTTTCTTTACATGTTCATACATATCTTACTGGGTTCCTCTAAATTCCTCGTGGCTCTTGTGTCTTTCAGTGCAATAATTTCAGTTTCCCTGAAGTGTTTGCAGCCCTTCTGTCATTGATGGGCACCCGCCCACTTTGTGTCTGTCTGTCACCACCACTAAAAGTAGGATTCTGACTGTTTTGACATACATGGGGCCATTGTTCTGGTCTTTGACCCTCTTGGGATACATGCCTGGCGGTGGGATCTCTGGGTCAAAGGACGTGGACAATTTAGTGAATGGGGGGAGGCAATCAACAGGTCTACCAACTATATATAAATGGCCCTGTCTTCCCAAAGCCCCTCCAACGTGGAGGATGCCTGGTTTTTGCTCCTTTGGCGTATTTACTGGGCATCAAATGAAACCTTATAGCTTTCTTCTCCTCAGCGATTTAGAACAGTTTTCACGTGGCTGATGACGGTTTTCAAGCCTTTTAAAATTTTGCTTCGTATGCTTGGATCACTTACCCTTTGGGGAAGCTATGATCCTTTAAAAACAGATTTGTAAAGAATGGGATTTTTTCAGGTGGGGCCTAAGCTCCACTATAGGCCAGGAGCAAATTCAGTCCTTAGTGCCTTTAATTGGTAGAGGGAAATAATTCTACTGGGTGCATTGAGACTTGAGTCTTACAATTAAAAACTTCTTTTTTTATATTAGCCAAGTTACTTTTTTTTTTTCCCAACCCAGGGGAAGATGGCTCTGCTGGCTTCAAACAGCTGCTTTATCAGATGCAATGAAGGAGGTGACGTAGAGGCCAAGAGCAAGACTGCAGGGGACGAAGAAATGATCAAGGTAGTCACGCCACATCAGCTCGAGGGAGGGGGCTGTGAGTGTCCCCGGGTGGCGCACAGAGCTCGCGTCACGCGGGCGTCCTCCCATGGCGCACGGAGCTCGCATCATGCAGGCCTTCTCTCACGGGCACCCTCCCATGGCGCATGGAGCTCGCGTCACGCGGGCATCCTCGCATGGTGCACGGAGCTCGCGTCACGCGGGCGTCCTCGCATGGCGCATGGAGCTCGCGTCACGCGGGCCTTCTCACGCCTGGCCATGGCTGCTTTCCAGTACCTTGGGAACGTCAGGGCCTCTCGACGTTGCCTGGGCGCCAGCGGGCCGTCCATTTGTGCATCCGTCTGCCATCTGGCATCCCTTGTCCTGACCGTATCAGTCTCCTTCCCCAGACGTTCTTCTTTTAAGGTTGTCTCTTAGCCAACTCCACAAGCGTGGTTCTCTGTCAGCGGTGTGCTGCCCCCCGTTAGACCCCTTGCCCCACTGGGGACTGGCACATTCTGTCCTTTGTCTGTTCAGCAGCTCACAGCCATACGACGTCTTCACAAGAACGTGTAGTTTCTGTTTAGTTGTTTTTCAGGCCTGTCTGACTCTCCGTGCCTTCAGCTGAGGTTTTCTTGGCAGAGATACTGGAGTGGTTTGTCATTTCCTTCTCCAGCTCATTTTTCGGATGAGGAAACTGAGGCAAACAGGATAAAGTGACTTGCCCAGGGTCACACGGCTAGGAAATGTCTGAGGCCAGATTTGAGCTTAGGGGAGAGGAGGCTTTCCGGTCTGGTGCTCTGTCCACTGTGCCACACAGCTGCCCCCTTCAAAAGAACACTGATGTTGGAGAAAGATGGATTTTAGTTTCAGGGGTAGGCCCAGGGCTGTTGATAGCACCACGTGATCTCCCATTCCGTTCTCGGCACAGCTCCTCCTCCGCTGTGAGGGCTGCCTGTTGCACAGGGCCGATGGGCCAGCTCCATCACGCGGTCACCAGGCAGCCTTTGTCCGCTCACTTCTGTTCTGGGGGATGGAAGGTTAGGCCAGCTCACCCTGGTGGAGGCGGCGCTGCGGCGTCTGGGGGCTCTGCCTGGACTCTGCCCCAGGCGGCCTCCAGGACGGTGGCAGACCTTGGTGAGCACGCAGCTGCGTCCTGCTCAAGCCTCATCCATTCTGCTCCCTCTGCTTGGGATAGCAAAGTGGTCTTGGTTGTTTCGGCGAGGGAGCCCTTTTTGAAGGTGTCAGTATTTCCTCCAGGAAGGAAATGAGCATTTATGTGGCACCTGCTGCATGCCAGGCCTTAGGCGAAGCACTGTACAAGTGGGATCTCCTTGGATCCTCTTATGACCCCCATTGCGCAGATGAGGAAGCTGAGGCAGGCACCTTGCCCAGGGTCAGCCAGCTCCTCAGTGCCTGAGGCTAGATTTGGACTCCGGTCCTCCTTCCTCAGGCCTGGTGCTGTGCCCTGGGTTGCTGCCTGGCTGCCTCCACAGAGTTAGCAGCCAGCAGGCTCCGGGGGCCTCGTCCCTCTGACCCCTCCATGCAGCGAGGCCTGTGCAGTGGCTCCTGTCCGCCCGCCTCCCCCTGGTGCCCTCCAGGAACCTTCTCTCTCCACTTTTGCGGTCATCGGCAGACGTGTTCACGTGACCGTCCTTTCTGTAGAGACAGCACCCCCTTGTAGGCCCCGTTCCTGAGGGAGCCGGTCCTTTCATTGCTTGTTATGGAGGGATTCTCCCCAAGTTGTTAAGAATAACACGTCCCCTGCCTCGTTGTCCTCCAAACCCCGACCTCTAGATTCGCTCTTGTGCGGAAAGAGAAACCAAGAAGAAAGACGACATTCCCGAAGAAGACAAAGGAAACGTGAAGCAATGTGAAATCAACTATGTGTACGTATCCTGGGGTGAGGGGACGGGTGGGTGGGCACATAGATGGAGGGGTGGGTGGGTAGCTGGGTGGGCTGATGGGTAGCTGGGTGGGCAGGTGAGTGGAGGGATGGGTGGGCTCATAGATGGAGGGGTGGATTCTACTCTCCCCTGACGCATTCCCAGCAGACATCTGTTTCCTCAAGGAGCTTTTTTGGATGCCTCATTGGTGGAGAAAGAAAGCAGTAGAGTTGAGGTTCTAGGAAAGAGAGCCCTGAAAACAGTCCCAGCTGGGCCACTGCTTGCAAGGAATAATATCTGTGCCCAGTCTGTCCCAGAAAGTAGCTTGTGTTTCCCGGAGCCAGGCTCTCACAGTGTTTCACCCTGAGGGACGACCCGCTGTGATACATTGGAGGCTGGAATGTGACGCTTCTGTTGGGTGGTTCTGGCCCCTCCTCCAGACAGGGTTGGGGGACATCTTCACTTCACGACACGGTCGTGCTTCCTGGGATCCTGACTCCTCAGACTCCACGACCACAGCCCGTTGGGTCAGAGGTTTTAGAACCAGGAAGGACCCGGGGGCCCTCTGGTCCAGTCTGCCTCCGTGAGGGGGCTTAGCCGAGGGCCCGCTCTGAGTCTGGTGACTATTGGCCTGTCGCTTGGTCAGTAACCAGCTTCGCGGGCCCTTCACGGGCGGATTTCAGGGGGTCCATGCACCTGGATGGGGGAGCACAGCGCCTTTGTTTTCCCCTCACGTCAGGCTGACGTCTAGCCTTTCCTTCACTTCTTCCAAACCCTGACTCTGAGGGAGGTCCCCCGGCGAGCACCCGAGGGGCCAGCATCCAAAACTGAAGTGGGCGGGGTCCCGGTCCTGTGTTTGTCTCACACATGGCCGGGCTCGAGGTGTTAGCAGCTTTCACTCTGTTCAGCATGTTTGTGAATAACCTAGAAAACACGGAGGGAGAGAGGAGGGGAGGGGCAGGAAGAAGAAAGAAGCATTTATTGAGCCACTGTGGGGGTGTGGAGGATTCAGATACAGAGGCGGGCCTTCCCCACAGGGAGCTTCTGCTCCAGTGTGCAGTCCTGGACAGGCAGGCAGGCAGGGTGGTGAACAGAGCCCAGGGGTGCAGCAGGCAGGTGCCAAGGGGCAGCAGGGAGTGCCATGTGGGCCCCGCGGCCCTCCCCACTCGGGAGCTGGTTCCTCACTCAGTGTGACCTCCGGTCTGAGTGGGCCCTCGGCCCTCGCTGCCGATTTCAGTGTTCTCCCCCAGGTCGTTCCTTCTCAGCAGTCTTTCAGAGGGAACCGTTTCAGGGATAGATTAGGCCCTGGAGACCCCCCAAAGAGGAGCTAGGTCTGAGCCTGGGCAGGCTGCAATGTCGGGAATCTCTCTGTCTGGTGCTCCAACCTGGGGGTGGGGGGGCAGGGGGAGATCTGTGCACCCCAGGGAGATATCTCACCAGGCCCGTTCCTCTGTGACTGGCATGGGATGAGTCTTGTGGGGAAGTCTAGCAGGACAGGAGGGGGTATGGGAGGTGACAGGAAGAAAACCACTATCAGCGGGAGTGAAGAAGCAAAATTCCCACACCTCCTGGCTTTTCTCCAGCCTCTGATAGAGTGAGGACTGGATCAAGACGTGTCTCCACACTCCATCCACTGGTACAGATCGCGCCCCCTCCCCTGCCTGGGAACACCAGGCCACTGGCCAAAAAAAAGGTATCCAGCATCTGTGTCTTTGGCCAGAAGAGGCCACTGCTGGAGTTCCGTGCTGATGCCTGCCCTGCTGCGGACACCTGCCGGCCTTGGGCTGCCAGGGCCTCACCCACACTGAGTGGTGTGGTGGATAGAGCGTGGGGCCCGAGTTCAGATCCAGCCTCCGCCATGCCTCACTTAGCTGTGTGACCCTGAGCAAGGCACTGAACCTCTGTCTGCCTCTGTTTTTCCCTCTGCGCAGTGGGGATAAGAATGCAGACTTCCTGCCAGGCTTGTAGGGAGGATCACAGGTGACGATAACACAAGTGAAGGGTTTGGCAGCAGCGGTGGCATCATCATTATTTTTATTATCATCATGTGGTTTGGTTTAACACGTGATTTTTCTTAACAGAAAGAAATTCCAGAGTTTCCAAGACCACAAACTTAAAATAAGCAAAGAAGACAGCAGAGTGCTGAAGAAGGCCCGGAAAGATGGGCTTTTTCACGAGACACTCCTGGACCGGTGAGTCTTGGGCCTTCCCTTGAGCGCCGAGTTCAAAACCAGCCCCCAGAGGCAGCATTTTTAGATCGTTTTTCATATTTCCACACTTGTCGTGCTTGTGAACCGAGAACAAAACCACTCAACTCCAGAGAGAGCAAAGAAAGCACCACCCAGGCTGCCCCCGCCACATGCACACACACACGTGTGCACACACACGTGTACACACACACACGTGTGCACACACACGTACACTGAAACGTGTGCAGTTACACATTGCTACACCCTACACGCACATATTCAGACGCACACTTTGTATGCCCCACACATGTATACACAAGCATGCATGTACACACATGCACTCAAACGTGTGTGCAGTCACAGTTTTACACCCTGCACACATATTCAAGCGCAAATGTGTATACACAAACATGTGCGTACCCACATACACCGTACACACACAGGCATGCGGGCAGACACACACACTCACTCACTCATGCCCACAGATGGCATGCTGACCAGAGAGCCTTTGAGAAGCCCCCTGGAGCCTCGACTTCCCCTGTGATCTCTGGTCTCAGGCCGGCCCCTCCCTCGCACCGCCCCAGCCTGGATCTCCCTCAGCCCAGCTTCCAGCTCTTGTGTCCCGTCCCGTCCCATTCTGGTGACACAGAAGAGGGTGAATGGGCGTAAGGGAATCACACTTTTAAAATGTGGATTTCTTTCCATTCACGTGGATTCATGCTGGGTCCAGGGAAGGAGAACTTTCCTAATCCTAATTTCTTCCTATTTGTTGACAACTTCTGTGCAGTGAGAAGCAGCCTGACACAGCAGGCTTGAAGTCAGAGGCTCTGGGTTCCAATCCCACCTGACTTCCCTTCCCTGGGCCTCTGTCCCCTCCTCTGTAAAGTGAAGGCCTTGAAGGCCCCTCCAGCTGCATACCTAGGCTCCTAGAATCCAAGTGCTTCTCTGTGGACCGGGGAGCAGGAGCGTGTGGTGTCTGAGCCTTGCCTCTCCGAGGCCCCCCCAGGCCTTACACTGTTCTGTAGGAGGCAGGGAGGACCCTGGCTGTTGTGTGGGCTCCTGTCAGAGGGCTGGGGAGCCCCAGGAGATGCCCCTGGAGGGGAGAAGGGCGGCTCCTGTGAATGACCTCAGGCCTCAGTGAAGTCTGGGGCAGGGGAGATAGGCCTGGCTTGTTTCCGGCCCCTCTCTGGTCTATAGGTGAGGGTCAGCAGGGTCAGGGCTGCCCGCTGGGGCTCTGTAAGGTGGCGGGCCCAGACTCTGACCCCAGATACGTGTTTTCTGCTGGGCTGGGCTGGGCTGCCCCTCTTCTCACTGAGAGACTGTGTCCTTCCATGTTCTGAAGTGAGAATATAATGTGGAAAGGGCTGCGGCCGGGCTGGGGGACGTGCGTCCTGCCCAGGGCCCCATCATCCTCCCCTGAGTGAAGGCAGCATCCCCCAGGAGGCATGGCTGCCTTCTGGCAGGGGCAGGGCTCGCTCTTGTAGGATGAGGTTAATTTTCGGTTTGCTGCAGTCCTGGAGAATGAGAACGCAGGGCTGAATTAGGCCGGCCCCTGCAGGGCTCCATGAGCTCCCAGGCCCTCCAGCCTCCCGCCTGCCCAGCAAATTGGAGGCCCGCGTGGACTCCGAGAGGCCGCAGCTTCTGTCCACTGACACGTTTGTGCCCCTCGCCCCTGTCACCACCCCCCTCTGGGGCAAGCGGGAGGCCTGCAGAGCCTCGTGTGAAAGCTGAGGGCACCGAGGCAGCGGCATCCGGGACCCAGGTTGTCTGTCACAGGCAGGGGGCACTCACCTTTGCTTGGTTCTGTTTCTGTCTGTTTAAACAGGAGAGTCAAGTTGAAAGCTGACAGATACTGCAAGTGAGGACCAGGTTCTTTGTCTGCCTTTTCATTGTTATTCCTGAATAAAACGCTTGGCAGATGGGATTCTTTGTAAAGAAAAGTTGTGTCCTTTGTGTTGGTGACTGTGGCATCGCCCCCCCTGGGGGGCCTGGCTGGAGGAAGCAGCCTGAGGGGTCACCTGGAGAAGCACCCATGGGGCTGTCCTCTCTCTGCAGGGGCCTCCCTGGCCCAAAGCTTGCCCTCCGGGATCGGATCCAGGCTCTTAAGTTGGGGCGTGGCCTGGTTGGCTGAAAACTTAGAGCAGAACTCGATTTCAAAGCCTGATGGGGAGAAGCTGGGTGCAGGCCCAGGGAGGCACAAGCCACAGGGTGAAGGCTTGAAGACCCCTCCCCACGCCTGCAGTGTGTCCAGGGAACGGGATTCCTGCTCCCAGGGGGCCCTGCCTGAGCGGGTTCCTCGCGGCACCTCCCAGAGGGGTGTCAGTTCACCGCCGAGCTCACCCCGATCACCCCGACACGGGTCCTCCGGCGGCTGGGGTCCTCCGGCGGCCGGAGTGGGCAGGGCCCTCAGGGTCTCACCCATGGTGCAGATTGGTGCAGATGAGGAGACGGCCAGCGAGGCCTGTGGCCCCTGGTGTGGGCCACCACCCCCACCCCCAATAAATGTTACAAACCTCTGGATTGACTCGTGTCTTTGTCGTGTATGCGAGTGGGGGGGGCATCTGGAAGAGTTCAGCGGCTCCCCACTCAGCTGGTCGGGATGATGCTGATGTTCATGGCAGCATTTTTTGTGGTCCTGAAGAACCAGGAATGAAGGGAGTGCCCCGTCCTCGGGAATTGGCTCAGTGATCTCAATCCCGGGCCAGAGAGCGTCTCACAGTGTTCCTGTGTCATAAGAAACGCGGAAAGACTTGTTCAGTCGTTTCAGCCGTGCCCAACTCTTTGTGGCCCCATTTGGGGTTTTCTTGGCAGAGATACTGGAGCGGTTTGCCATTTTCCCCTTGAAACTGAGGCAGGCAGAGGTTAAGTGACTTGCCCAGGGTCACACAGATAGTGTTTGAGGCCGGATTTGGATTCTGGAAGACCAAGCCCAGGGCTCTGAAGACAGGGCAGCTGTTGCCAAGAGAAGCAAGAAAACAAAGTCAGCCAGGTACGCCATGCAATGGAAACGACCCATGGCCAAAACGCCCGGCTGCCATCTGTTTGCATGGTGCTTTTAGACGACGAGGGTGGTGGGGGTGGGGATGGGAGAGGCTGCGAATGGGAAAGCAAGACAGTCCCTGCTGTGGAGGGGGTGGGGCACGTCCCAGTGGTGGGGGGGCTTCAGCTGCAGGTAAAGGGCCCGGGGCCCTTGGAGGGAGTGCAGCGGCAGAACCAAGGAGAAGGCCTTTTCTCTCCTTGCCATCCTCAGAACGCTTAAGCCCTGGATTGGGGGAGTTCCAATCTTGCCTCAGTGGATCCGTGGGCCAGTGTCTTCCCCCTTCCGAGTCTCAGTTCTCCCAGCTGGCCGAAAGGATTGCCAGGGTTCCTGCCAGCTCTAAAAAGAACACCCAACCCCCTCCCAACAGTAACAAAGTGGGGCTGGGCTTTGGCGTTCAGGCCTTCCCTGCCCTTTCGGCACTGCCAGTGTTTTTCCCCAGGCAGACTTCCCAGAAGGCCGGGCCCCAGCAGTCCAGCCTACACGGCCTCAGCCATCCGGGCTAGCCCTCGTGAGTCACTTCCAGAAGGGAGGGGGCCTGGCCTTCGTCCCCTCCCCCACGCCCTTCCTCCCTTTGAGGAACAGGAAGCCCGTTGAGGGGCCCTTCAGTCAAAGGTCCTCGTCCCCCTCTGCGTTTGATGATTTCAGCAGCCCCTCTCCGGTGGCCCTGCCCTGCTCTCATCCCCCTGTTGCCCAGGTTTATAATCATGCCCCTTTGTCCCAAGAGGAAAGGGCTCTTGTGAGCAGAGCTGTAGGCTCGCCACGGGACCAGGGGTCACGAGTCAGTCAGCAGCCCCAGCTCACTCTCTAGTGCATCACTGTCTGCCAAAGCAGGGAGCACTTTCCGGGGCCTTCAGCCTTTGGGCAGCTGGGGGAGCAGCCCATCCCCTTCTCTTCCTTTTCCCACTCTGGGGGTACTGACCACCCCTGCCCTTATCTTCATCTTCCTCTGTAGACCACGCCCAAAGCCTCCGATGTCCAAATCTCCCCACTGGAATCCAGCAGGACTTTCTGGAGCTGCCTCCCTTCTTATAAAGACTCCAGGGATATAGGTCTGGGTGGGTTATCCATACCACTGAAATACAGGGTGCCGCCCACCGGAAGGGGGCGCATCCCGGGGACCACCCCCCAAAAACACAGCCCTTCTGTGAGGGGGAACCCAGCGCCTTTGGAAGCCCTCGGCTCCCTCCACTCACTACCGATGGAGACACAGCTTAGATTTCAGGGGCCACAGCTCCCTCCCCTCTCCCCCAGAGCCAGAGATCACTGCCTCTTTCCCTTCTACTCCACTCGCACAGAAGTTGGGCAGGACCTGCTCTTATCAGAGACTCCTTCCCTCGTCAGCCTTTGGCCTCATTTTTCATAGCAGAAGCTCCCTGAGAATCCTCTGGGCTTTGTGCAAAGTAGACAGTCTCCTTACATGGGGCCCATCCCGTTTCCCTCTCCCAAGTCCATGGTGGAGCCATTTGAGGAATTCATGATTGCACCAAGAAGGCTGGAGCCCCACTATCTAATTCTTGGCCCAGGTCAGCAGCCAGGAATATGAACCATGAGTCAGATCAGGAACCATAAATCAAACAGCAAAATGTTCCATTAAAGTAGAATGACACCGAAAATAACAAGAGAATGTCCCCCCAGCGTGTGCTACAAGGGGGTGGGGGCTGGGGCTGAACACCCGTAGTTCACAGCCCAGCCCCTGCTGACGTCTGCTCTGAACCTGAGGGCCTGGGGCTCCTTCCTCAAAGATAGGAGGATCCTAACCATCCCACAGGGTAATCCCAGCCAATGGCCCAGCACAGAAAAATGCCCCTCTGGTCAAAATCCTCATCCAACCATCTTATCAAGAATTCCTTCAGACTGGCTCGATGTTTAGGTTGAGGTGAAGACGTTCATTTCCAAGAGGCAGAGGAGTGGTAAAGTAGACAGAGCCCCAGCCCTGGAGTCAGGATGGACCCGAGCTCAAACCTGGCCTCAGACACTTAGCTGTGTGACCCTGGGTAAGTCTTTTTTTTTTTTGCCTCAGTTTCCTCATCTGTAGAATGGGAATAATAGTAATAGCACATACTCCATAAGATTGGCTCCGTAAGAGCTGTATAAATGCTAGCTATATTAGTCTTCACGGCCTCGCCAATCGGCCTGATGGCTCCTTGAGGAAGTACAAAGCCAGACTGGTTTCACACTCTCTCCCTGACCCCAGGCTGCGTCTTCCTTCCTGCGGAGATCTCCAGACAAGGCTGAAGAAGGATGGGTTAGGGCTGGGCTCCTTGTGCGTTTCCACCGTTTTCTAGCTGGATTTGTGGCAGGCGAACCCACTTAGTATCTGTGTGACCGTAAGAGTCCTAAACCTTCTTGGGCCTCAGTGTCCTCCTCTGAAGAGTGCAGGGGCCGGCTCGGAGCCCCAGGCAGAGCTACTCTCCTTGCCCTGAATTCTTGCGGCCACACTCGGGTCACTGCCCTCTGCACGCTGAAATGATGCATGCCTCCTCTCCTCCCAAACTCTGGCTTGTCTCTGCTGCCAATCTCCCCAGACCGACTCTAGCAGACTCCATTATTCCAGCCCTTCCAGCAATGCTCAGCCTTTGCAGTCACACACTGGGCAAAGCTGTGGCCTGTTGTTCAGTTCTAACTAACCCAAGCCCTCAATGCCTCCTTACCTCCAGGTCAGAGAACCCGCCCGGCAAAACAATAAAAAATGAGGGTTGTGAAATTCCAAAGAGCAAGCATTGCCCAGAAAAGGAAGGTGTGAAGCCACCTGCCCTTTGGAGAGGTGGGAGGGCAGGGCATCCTGTTCACATTTGTTTGGGTGGATTCAGCCCTGTTGGTGTTTGTCCCCTTCCCCCCTTCTCTTTTTCCTTTTAAAAAATCATTGTTGTATGGGATGACTTTCTGGGAGAGAGGGGATGAGGTTAGAGGGGAAAATTGAGGCAATAGAAAAATTGAAGATAGCAATAAAAACTTACTGTAAAAAAGAAATGTCTCTTGTACGTTCACACTTAATTGTACTGTAAGGTATGACAAACACTTTCCTCCCAATAGCCCTGGGAGGTATGTGGGGAAAGACAGGGAAACTGAGGCTTGGAAATTCAAAGCCACCTGCCAATGCCACAAAATCATTCTAGTTAATCAATAAGCATTTATTATCGGCTAGTGTGGAAGCATGTATTGTATGACTGGGTATGTATAACGGGTATTGTATTTCTAGCCTTCCAATGGCTGGGGGAGGGGTAGATGGAGGGAGAAAATGTGAAATTCAGAATAAAAATTTAAAAAGCAAACAAGGAGCATTGTGTGTCCCAGGATCCATGCTAGGCACTGTAGATAAGACAATGTGAGGAACTCACTTTCTGTTGGGGAAACCCAACCCCCCAGAAGTAAGCGTGAGAGCCAGGATTGGAGCCTGGGTCTCTCCTGACCCCAAGACCAGCAGGCCCCAGAAAGGCCGCCCAGACCCAGGGCACAATTCCATCCCACCCTAACATAGTGACTTTGCTCTTAGCTGCCTTACCAAGGACTAAGGGACCAGGGATCTAAAGCTGGAAGGACCTCAGAGCCCTGAGACCAACCCCCTCTTGAGGAAACTGAGACCAGGAAGTGGTCCACCAGGAGGGAGCATCCCAGGTGGGCTTTGAACCTGGGTCCTTACCCAACAATCTTTCTCCTGTGGCTCCACAGGAGACCAGAGTGATCTTAGTGAGGGGATGTAGATGAGTCAGGGAAAATAGATGTGGGGGCCGGGAGGAAACGAGCCCCCAAAGGCAAGGCCCTGGGATGGAAATCTCCAGATGTCCACTTTCTGCCTTGGAAAAGCAGGGCCTGTGGAGCCCCGCAGGCCTGGCTATCTTCTTAGGAGAAGGTAGGGCTGACTTGGGCGTGGGAGTGGGAGTGGGCCTGTGCTGGGTGGGA